TTCCAGCGAGTGTTCCAGCAACTGGTCAGTGACCCGGTGTGTGTCAGATGAGTTGTCCCAGGGTCTTCAGAAGTTTACTTGCGAGATGTATTGTAGAAACTCTGGGACAAGCGACGTCAATGAACTGCGCTACCACCTGTTCTGCCTGAAGAAAGGAGACGTCGACTTAAATCAGCTGCCACCTTGCAGTGACACCCTTTGCAAACACTCTCTACGATCCAATTACGAGACTGCTCTATGGAGACGGAGTCTGCAAAGATGTCCAGAAATACCATCACCAGTAGGATCTGGTTGGTGCAGGGAACATGGCAAACTGGTCGTCGACTGGATGGATGGGCAGCCGGCTCCGAAAACAGTTCTGGAGCTGCTATCGTGCCAGTGCAGTAGGTTCTGCAAGCTTCCACCGTGTTCCTGCTCTACTAACGGCATGCGATGCACGGACCTGTGTCGGCTCCAGGAATGTACCAACAGATGATGTTGTACCTGATGATGACGATCGCTTTAGGTAAGGGTCTTGTAACCAGTTAAAATATCAAATAACTTTCCACGTGCTGTGTTTTTCGAGAAAAACTGTATTTATAACACGATGGCTATAGTATTACATATGTCTTGTTTGAAAAAAAAAAAAGGTTCTTAATTATTATATATGTGTATAAATCATGGTTGTCATGGCAACTGCCCATTAATCCCACTGTTTTGACAAATATGTAACATGACTCTTTCTTTATATATCAGCGAAGATGATGCTTGAAAACCTCGGACACCAAGGCCAAGTCTCCAATGAGGCAAGTTCTACAATGGCCTTTGAAGGACGATGACAGGCCAAACAGAGGATTGAAACGATTATATAATTAGCTGAATAATTTAAGGGAGCTGTAAACTATTCGTTAGTTAATGCAAATGGTCTGTTCTCATATATGGTTTTTATATATTTCTTTGACTGGTACCCGTCCTTTCTCAGACGATTGATATAGGCCTATATCGAACGTGTGAGAATGGACGGGTACCAGTCTATACATTTCTATGACGGTTGCTGTAACTTCCGGTCTGAATTGCTCAACAGTGACATCTGGCGGAACCCCAATAACAGTGTTTAACGCGAGATCCCGTTCTCTTTCGCAACTCGCGATTCGTAACGATGGTACGTATTTTGCGGTGTCTAGATGAATCTTTAATAGCTAAGTGAAGTCTAAGCCATCGGTTGTTAATTTTGTGATTATTAGGTGTGCATTGTTGTTTGTAGTTGTATATAATATGTACCTTTGTGTCTGTCGTTATTTCTACAGTGTCGAACTAATTTTATGAATGTGCGTTTTACTTCATGCTTTGGAATATGTTGCTAGAGCTGTAGTAGCCGGACCCACAGCCACAGGCACTTGGAGCGCTTCAATAAATTATAATGCTAAATAAATACGAAATCTATTTACTACCAAAGTCTTAATGTTTCTCTATTCTCTTTCACCTATTATTGCCGACAATTTCCTGTAAATGCCGTCCAAATGCTCATCTGCAACACGCGGGCTGCGGTTCAAGGATAGAGAACATGGGTCCCAATAAAACCAATGTCATTTACATCAATATAAATATAATATTATATCAATATAATAGCTAAATAGGTTAGGGTTAGGCACATTGGTTTTATTCGGACCCATGTTCTCTATCCTGGGGCCCTATCTGCAGCCGCACACTGACACATAAATATATAGGAGGTAGGAAAGCGTGCTGCCAAAACTCGCTCGACGCTCGCTTGCAACGAATTCAACACAAATATTCAACCATTCTACTCCATCTTTGTTTCTATTTGAAGGACAGTGTTCACTTGTTATGAAAACATACTGTCTGTTCGTGACCGAGCTGTGTCACACGAAATCACACAAAGCCGGACGAAATTCTGGCGTTCACTCCCGTTGCTCAGTTTATGTAAATGGCTATAGGCGGCGCACTGCATTTTGTGAAACTACCACGCTGCTTTCCAACTCGAGTACGAGCCTCATCAAAGCTGCCAGTGGAGCGTTGCAATAATGCGGCGCAAAAATGAGGCCACGAAGAGCGCCTGTGGGTGTTCCCTGATTCCGACAGTCATTAACATAAACCGCAACGGTAGCGAGCACGAGAATTTCGTCAGGCTTTGTGTGATTTCGTGTGGCACAGCTCGGTTACGAACACAGACAATGTTTTTATAACAAGTGAACACTGTTCTTCAAATAGAAACAAAGATGGAGTAGATGGTCGAATATTTGTGTTGTATTCGTGTGAAATCAAGCGAGCGTTGAGCGAATTTTGTGTATATTTATGTGTCGGTGTGCGGCAGCCAGCGTGTGTTGCAGATGAGCATTTGGACGGCAATAAGAGGTGAAAGAGAGTAGAGAAACATTAAGACTGGTAGTAAATCGATTATGTATTTATTTAGCATTATATTTTATTGATACGCCCCAAGTGCCTGTGGCCGGACCAGCCTGTTTCACGTCGTAGGACTCTTCTATTCGAAAAACATTGCCCTTGTGACTATAAAATAATTTGAATTTCGTAGATAAGCGATCTTGACTCTTGTTACGACATTTGACCTGAGCACTCGCCGCACACTTCTTAACTGCTATAGTATAGGCCTATGCATCGGTATTCTTGTTATAATCAGGCAATTCTTGAAAGTTGACAAACTCCAAAAAATGTGTACGATCAAGAAATAGATATCCGCGATTACTAGTAATATGTAGCCTTATAGCGGAGAGAATGGCTACGCCTGTAGAGCTACGTATATATGTACTTGTTTTCACTAGCACTGGGAGCTCAGTTCCACCAAGTGAAATTGTGGCTTTGTTTGTAGAGTCACAGGAAGTTTTCGGCACCACGTCACGGCCATGTTGGTTTCTTGCCCAAGAAGCGTGCTAAGCGTCACCGTGGTAGGGTGAAGGCATTCCCCAAGGATGACCCATCCAAGCCAATTCACCTGACTGCCTTTATGGGCTACAAGGCTGGCATGACCCACATTGTCAGAGAAGTTGAGAAGCCCGGTTCAAGTGAGTGAACCGTTATGAGTGTTTTACAGGGATACAGCATTTTTATTCGTTATTATATCTATTTATTAAAAGGGATTGATATCACATGCAAGCATATTATAAATCATATATCAACTGTTTTTCATCGTCATTTATTATTGTTGACTGTTTGGTTGAGAAATTCATGATTTTACATTTATGGTGGTCTACACGGTCTAGCGTGATGTGATCGAACTGCATATAATTTTTGTCCATGTGAAATTTTAGAACTGAACAAGAAAGAAGTCGTGGAAGCGGTGACCATCATCGAAACTCCCCCGCTGGTCATTGTCGGTGTGATTGGTTATATCGAAACACCCCGTGGTCTGCGCACACTGAAAACCGTCTTCGCTGAACATCTGAGCGAAGACTGCAGGCGTCGCTTCTACAAGAATTGGTAAGCATTTCCAGTGTGCATGCAGTTAGTGTTTATGGTAGGTGGTGACTGTTCCAGCAGATTGTCAATCGGTGTTTCACCATCAATAACTATTCCAGCAGATTGTCAATCAGTGTTTCATGATAGCTGTAAAAAAAAGTTATACCCATCCATGAGTACCAGTGTTCGTCAGTTTTAGTGTAACTGACCTTCGTGTTGGCGGTGTGTGAAATTGTATTAATCGTTTTTTGACAGCACTCCTTCATTCTCCCCCGTGCAATGTTGCGGGTGAGAAGTGGGCTCCTCTCGGCCACATATTTTGTGATGCTGATGAGCCTAGTTAGTGCAAGGCCTGTGTTCTTGACCAGTGGCCACATTTGTTCTCCCTCAGTTCATCTGTCTGTATCTTCCAAGTCGGATCCACTCATCTCCACGCACGTCCTAGTGTCTCTCTTACCAGGTGATCCTTTCCCGTTGCCTAATATGGTCAAGACGAGGCATCACTGCATTTTTGCCTCCTCCAATAAAGGTACAAGGCCAAGAGAAAGGCTTTCACCAAGTATGCAAAGAAGTGGCAAGATGAGGTCGGAAAGAAGCAGATCGACAGGGAGTTTGAGAAGATGAAGAAGTACTGCACTGTCATCCGTGTTGTTGCACACACACAGGTGTGTTGGTGTACCGGATCAATGATGTATCTAGATTAGTAATAGTTATAATGATTAATCGCAGGGTGGGTGTCTAAATTTTCTATTTATTTTTATAGGTGATTATCCCTATATACGTACAATGGTTACAATGATTTAAAGTTCACGAAATAAGATAGCAACCAAGTATATATTCCCAAAAAGTATGAAAAGCAGACGTCTACACTCTGGTCCTTGCTAGATTACTCTTAATTATAAGGCGCGTTCACACTGACGTTTTTAGCCAGCGCCAAATTTGGCTCGAGCCGAGCGTTCACACGGACGGTTTTTAGCACCAGCTAAATCGGTGGAGCGGTAGATGCCGCGAGTGTCGAACGTGTACTTCGACGAAATAAAGTCCAAAACATAAAAATTCAAAAAATTTGATCAGGATGCACGTTTTCAAGATTGATAATTGAACTCGGAACGGAAGTAAACGCAATCATACACAACACCATCTCGCGACATACTGCCAAAGTATCTGTGAGATATTTGTGCAATAAAATTTATTTGAATTTGACAGACAGTATTCACTTGCGTACGTGTGAACGCTCCGACTCAAACCGGCCCGAGCCAAATTAACCCATTTGGCTCGAGCCAAACCATGACTGTGTGAACGCGGTAATAATAGCAGTGCGTTGAATAATCGGAATACACAAGTTACACTGCATAATTTACATTTGTTTTACACTTTACAAATTGAAACAATAGTAACGATAGCCTCCAGCCGTTTTTACTTTATAGCCTCGTCTACACGACGAACCTTAACTCGAGTTAAGCGTTAACTTGAGTTAGCGATTATGTAGCGTCTACACGACAACACCCGATAGCGATTATTACCGATTTATTATGCATGCGTGCATGTGCACGTATACGTGCGTGCGTACGTGTGTATGTACACGTGCGTTTGCGTGCATGTGTGCATTAGTGCATGTGCACGTACACGTGCGTGCATGTGCAAGTACACGTGCGCGCGTGCACAGGTACACGTTCGTGCGTGCATACATGTGCACGTACACGTGCATGCGTGCATGAGTGTGCAAGTACACATGTGTGAGTGCGTGCGTGTGCAAGTACGCGTGCGTGCGTGTGTACGTACATCGTACTAGTGCTGCCGCCTATCGTGGAGGTTAAGCTAACTCGAGTTAAGCGTCTACACAGGCCTTAACTCGAGTTAGCTTAACCTCGATCGACTGGCAAGGTTAAGCTAACTCGAGTTAAGGCCCCGTGTAGACACTTAACTCGAGTTAAGGTTCGTCGTGTAGACGTAGCTTATATGTTTAAAAACTGTATTTCTTATTGCTTCCCATTCCTGGCTTGGATATTACCATCCCCCCTTCCTTGGTATTGTATCGGGCAAATTTATTAACTTTCCTAGTTGTGTCCCATTTAGCTTGGGTTAGCATTATACTAATACGTGCTACTGCTAATATCGGTCAAACGTAATCCATTTCCATGCAGACGTCACTTGTTTTTAAAGACGCGTTTCCATTTATCCTGTAAGTTTAAGGCTTCCATAAAAAAGTAAATTTTCTTTGCTGCTGTTATTGAGGATAGCTCAAATTTTTTAAATGTGTTGACCCTGGTTAAATTATGTTCGTTGGAGTAGTGTTGATTGCTTTGGTATAAGGTGATGATTTTCCAGCACATGCGCGTCATCTGAGCCAAGCAGCATGTGCCAAACATTGGGTTCCATCTGCGTTCTGCTGCTGGTTCTCCGATCAAGGCATTTTGCGGTTCGGTTTGTGATTTTAATGTGCTTCTGATATACTGTTAAGCAATCGCCGTCCTCCTATACTTGTTGAAAAGTGGGTCCAGCAGGTGTAGTAAATGTAAGCGGTTGTGTTTTGATGTTGAGTATTTTAAGCCTGTGCAACTGACAATTTGGATTGTGTGCAGATGAAGCTTCTGCGTAAGCGTCAGAAGAAGGCACACATCATGGAGATCCAGCTGAATGGTGGCACTATTGCTGAGAAGGTGCAGTGGGCCTGCGACCATCTGGAAAAGGCTGTCCCAATCTCGAGCGTCTTCGCCGCAGATGAGATGATAGATATGGTTGGCGTGACTAAGGGCCATGGATTTAAGGGTTAGTATATTTTTGTGATTTTTTATCTTCTGGATGTTTGGCTGCATTGGTACTACAGTAGGCTGGTTTGCTCGTGATGAAAAATGTGGATACGTGCTTTTTTGCGGAAGCATTCTTACACAACGTGAGTGATGAGATGTCCGCTGCCTTCCTTCTGATGCAAACACCAACTTTAATCATGTCATGGTTGTCAGTCTAAGAGTTGTATTAACTCATTGAGTACTCTGCTTAAAATAAAAGGTTTTGATCATTTTGCGTGCTTTTTATCCTAGGGGTCACCTCCCGTTGGCACTGTAAAAAGCTGCCACGCAAGACACACAAGGGTCTGCGTAAGGTTGCCTGTATTGGAGCCTGGCATCCCAGCAGAGTGCAGTTCACTGTGGCTCGCGCTGGTCAGAAGGGCTATCACCACCGTACGGAGATCAACAAGAAGGTCTACCGTATCGCAGAAGGCATTCACACCAAGGACGGCAAAGTGATTAAGAACAACGCTGCAACCGACTTTGATTTGTCCGACAAGAGTATCACACCAATGGTACATACACTTACTAACCCTGGCATATTGATTAGGCCTAAGAAAAAGAGCTGGGGAAAAATTGGACACGGTAGGCAGGCCAAAAAAAAATTGTATTCTGACATTTCATTGGTACGGCTGGTGTTTCAATGTTTCTCCTGACTGAAGTCTACATAATTGTTTCTTTCCAATAAATCCACATTAAATTGCATCTCATAGACCCATTGATAAGGTTCTGCCATGTTAAAACATTTTAATCGTGTTAAAGCATTTTCTAATGTTTGTGTTCAGAATTCATTATTATTTATTTTTTATAAATGAGATTATTTTATATGCAGGTGCTGTTTAGTCTGGTTTAATAATTTGAGCATGATGAATAGGTGGGTCGTTCATTTGTGTGCTAAATTTGACCTAATTTTGCTGTTTGCAGGGTGGCTTCCCTCATTATGGAGAGGTTAGAAATGACTTCATCATGATCAAGGGGTGCTGTATGGGCCCGAAGAAGCGCATTATCACGCTTCGCAAAGTATGTACACTGAACACATAACCTTTATTAGTTGCTGTTTATGGCCGTGGTGGAATTTATGCAAAGAAGGTGGTTGTCTGCGTTTTGATTGTTCTTTTCACACTGAGTTTATCTGGGCCCGTTGTGCTCTTAATGGTGCTACAAATTGCAGAGTGGTACAGCCTAATGCCTGTGTACATTTCTTGCAGTCTTTGCTGACACATACCAAGCGTGTGGCTGCAGAGCACATCACCTTGAAGTTCATCGATACCTCGTCAAAGTTCGGGCATGGTCGCTTCCAGACTCACCAGGAGAAGCAGGCCTTCATGGGTCCGCTGAAGAAGGACCGGGTAAAGGAGGAGGCAGCTGCATAATCTGTTTCGATGCTACATCGTTATTTTCTTGGGAGAAACGATACTGAAATAAAATAATTTGTGAAAAGAATGTTCATGTTCGTTTAATTGTACTTGTCTTTTGATGTATCGATGTACTTTGCATAGGCATAATAAGCCTATGGTGACACGCACATTTAATGCAATGATTTTGCCGTAAAGTAGCTGTTATTCACTCCTCGTGGTTGTGCTTGTGATAACAAGACTACCCAATTTTTAGCTCACCTTGACATCGTCAAGCTGAGCTATTGCCATTGGTCGTCGTCCGTCAACATTTAGCTATGGTCAACGATAACTCGGGAACTGTTTTACCCAAATGTTTGAAATCGGGTGTAGTTGTTACTGCTATGCTCCCATATTGAACGTCCTATTTTGGAGCACGCCAGTCGCCGTACTTTCCAGCCACGGCAATTTTTTGGCACAAAAAATGGGAATTGCCATTAGTCAGTTCAGGTTCAACGGATTTTGCTCATTTTTAGCTCATCTGACATAGTCAGATGCAGCTTGTAGAATCGCTTGATCGTCCGTCCGTCCGTCCGTGCGTC